CTTCTCTTTTCTTTCTTACCGCTATTTTTTATTTTTCTTCTTCGTGCTACCGCTATTTTTATTTTTATTCTTCGTGACAGGGGTTCACTTTGGCCTGAGGAGTCAAGTTCAGCATTCGCTTCAATGATATCTGGCGCCATCTAGCGTCATGAATGGGCATAATGTCTAGATCCCGAATATAAGACGACCCCCACTTTTTCAGTCTTATTTCAATGCAAAAAACATCATCTTATATTCGGGCCAATACGGTAATTTACATCCAAACCACTCGTAAAAGGCACTTGGCTACTTCCTGTTATGGAGCTTAGCAACCAGTGCCAAATATAGACACACATTCTTAGCAGCACTTGTTCTGCATACCGAATGCCAAGAGAACCATGTGCGATGTGAAAAGTTGGGGCACTAGTAGTCAGTTTGCCACTGTATAATGCAATCATGCTGATCTTGTCTCTATGTAGTCAGTGTGAGTCCGTGTCTGGGCCTGTTATAATTCTGTTATGTGAAACGGCAACGGGTTGATCGAGAAGTTAATTGTACCTTCTGACCTTTCTGGTGGATGAGTATTTCATTGTTCTGCCTGTAATTTATGGAAGGTGCCGTATGTGATATGTATGTGATTTATGTAAAAAACACGTCCGTGTGGGAGTGAGTACTACAATATACTTCCTGGGTGGGAAGCACCCTACCAGTTTTTCTCTTGAAAAAAAATGGCACTGGTCCACCTACAGTACGAGCTCAGGTCATTTATCACTTGACTTGGAAAGAAGTGCCTATGTGTGTGCAGCTACAGGGGATTATCAAGTGTCAGAGTTATGTATCACTTTAACACATTTGAGTAGGAGGTTCCATCACTGTGAAAAATTGTTCTTTTTTTTTTATGTTGCAATCCCCACGGAGCTAGTGAGTGTGTACTACGCGTGTGTATGTGCAGCCTGACTGTACACAGTGTCCCCTCCCTGACAACCATCTAATATATGAAGGCCCAGAGGAACATGCCTGTCAGTGTGAATGAATGCAACATTCTGCGCGAATGCAGCCCTGAGGGGTCGATGATGTTTGCGGATTAAAATGAACAGCTCACCACTCGAGTGGGGGAATATATGAACACCTTCCCCTTGTTGAAATGCTGCTTTGCTGGCTGTGAGCACTACAGCGCTAATTTAACTTGTTATTAGCAGCTATAAATGAAGGATTAAAAAAAAAAAAAGATGTTGAAATGCATGTGAGGAGGCACTGAGGCTCAGTAATGAGAGGATTTCTCAAATCAAGTGCGAGTTCATCTGAAGTTCATCAGAACTTCAACTTTTACAGTCAGCAAATATCATTATGGCTCTTTATGGGTTCACATATATTACATTTGTGATTGGTGTTCATTACCTCATTAAATCCCAGCCATTTTCACTGGAGCAACCCCCTCAATCCCAGCGTTTTACCGGATTTTTACTGATCTTGCAAGGCAGGGAGCCTACCAAAATAAAGTTTGGACTCTCTTGTTTCAGCAGAAAAAAAATAAGTCGTTTCTATCTTTTTCCATTGTTCAGCAATCGGCATTACAAAATGGCTAAGTTTCATGAAAATGGCGATTCCTGGGCAAAAATGGAGAAAAAGAGCTTTTTGTAAAAGCATGCATTTCAAGCACGTGAGGCACCACTGCCACCTACTGGTTGCTTTTTTACATGATTTACAATGCAAAGGGCTTCTTCTCATTCACAGATTGCATCAGACCCTCCTCCTCTCGATGACGCAAAAAAAAAAAAAAAGACTTAAACATACAAGTACGTCCATGGTAGGCGGGGCCTAATTTTAAAAAGACGTACAAGTACGTTTTGTGGAATTAAAGAGTTAAAGGGTAACAGTATACTGTATAAAGTATACAGTACATAGTATATATGGTATATCTTAAAATGTGTTGGCTGTGGGAATCTCTCAGTTTGACGGCCCCACTAAGAACCATTCCAACAGCATTCCAAACATGGCTGCTTGCCCAGTAAGGCTTTAATATTGACCCACTGACCCAGCTGGCACGTTCTGCCGCTCCATCCAGGCGGGCAGAGGCATTGGTAACCTCCTGGAGCCTCCTGACAAGTTGCACCCGGTCCACAGGGATTTCGGTCGCACTGCCTCACCGCTGCAACAAGAAAATGTCGATGAACTACCGATCAAAGAAATATTGTGCGTGTTTGTCTGTATGTGTGTTTAGCATGTGCAGCGCAAACATGTGGATCATATGATTATGAACCATGCAGCGCTGATATGCAGACATTGGGTGGCTTGAAATATTGTCTGCTGGTGTGGTTTTCCGTGCAAACAGTGATAAATGCAATCGTCTGCTGGACACCCAAACACTGGCACGAAAAAAAGGAAAATATATAAGTATCATCATCATAATAATAAATTATGTATCTCCACAACTGAGTATAACATACAGTTGTTCTCAGTCTCTGCCAATGCTTTCTCAGAAATTCTCTTCAAGCATGTATTCCCGAAACAAATTTGGACTTTTTGACTTTTTACAAAGTTATGGTTAGAAGGTTAATGTTAGACTGGCATGGAGTCCAAAAATGGTACATTCTTTTTTTCTGTAATAAAGTCATCAGAATGAACGTGTTAAAATCCTACTTCTCATGTCAAATAAAAGTCTTTCAGTATCCCATCCATCCATGTTCTAACCCACTGTATCCTCACAAGGGTCGCAGGGTATGCTGGAGGCTATCCCAGCTGTCTTCGGGCAGTAGGCAGGGGACACCCTGAACGGTTGCCAGCCAATCGCAGGGCACACAGAGACAAACAACCATCCGCACTCACACTCACACCTAGGGACAATTTTGAGTGTTCAATCTGCCTGACATGCATGTCTTTGGAGGATACCGGAGTACCCGGAGAAAACCCACGCAGGCCCGGGGAGAACATGCAAACTCCACACAGGGAGGCCAGAGCCGGGATCGAACCCACGACCTCTGCACTGTGAGGTCAACACGCTCACCACTGGACCACCGGGCCGCTTTTCTGTATCCCTCATAACCTTTTCCCATTTTTGTAACCTAACAACCGGAGCTGAAACTGACTCCAACCCTCGCGCAATAATAAGCCAACCTCTGCTCGGACAACTAAATAGGCATTTCCAAATAAACACAGAAGACTTTAATTAATATCACTCAGAGATGCAATCCACGTCCAAGATGTGCTCCGGGCACTCAAGCATCAAACAAAAGCAAAACGAAATGACTTCTTTGTTGGTGGGCTTGTCTCATTTTTGTCATAATAACAACAATAAAAAAAAAAAAAACATCTTGTCGTTGTGTATACAGTACACGCCGGCAAATCCAAATGGCGAGGAACATCAGGGATGTGGAACATCGCTTGTTTACTGTCTCAGCTCTGACGTACAATAACCCGTGCTGTCCAATCTCGTCTGCGACACACACACACACACACACACACACACACACACACACACACACACACACACACACACACACACACACACACACACACACACGCATATATAATGTACACTCACTCACATACACACTCACTTACATGACGCACACACACACAAACACACACAAACACACACGATCAAACCGCTGCTGTGACAGCTCGCTTGTTACTCCACCAAAACACGCTTGACCTTTATTCACGCTTCACGGCGCAGACATGCCATTTATGAGGTGTGAAGGAAAAGTGCAGGGAAGAGCATCCAGACACATCTTTGTTGTAAAAATTAACATCGCCGCGTCTATTTATGTGAATATAAACTCCTCATCAGTTGCTCTTAAAGGTTAAAAGGCGTTTTTTTTTCTTTTTTTTTTAATTAAAGCCACAAACACAAAGCATGGTGACTTTTTGTGGTGTTACAGAGACACTTTTGCAGCATGTTAATTGCAGAAACTATCAGACATAGTGGACCATTTTAAAATGCTTCTCCTGGCGCTCCGGATTCCCATTCTTTGCCAGTGCCACTGGTGAATTGCAGATGAAACAAACTGTTTTTTAAAATTTTATTTTTAAACAGTGCACCGTATTCTTCTTCCTGATTGGCTAATAGGACTGCAGTCCAATGTCAACAGTCTCCACGCCTTGTCTCTGTACAGCTTGCCAAATTTACGTTTGCAACAGGTTTTGATCTTAGATTTCATTCTATAGTACAGTATTGTATTGTATAATAATAAAAAATAAAATTGACTATCACTGATTCTAAGGTCATGGTAATATTAACATAATGTACTTTTCTCCATCATGGTAAAATGACAATGACTGCACATTTATTTTGGTTCTTGTGCCCCTGTTGTTATATTTGAGGGGTGGCATCAAGTGGCAGGAATTGGTCAACGTTGATTAGGAGTGACGTCAGTTTGAGGAAAGAGACGAAAAGTGTGAGGTGCATATGGCAAGAGCTTCAATTCCTTCAAATTTTATTTGTTTATCTATTTTTTTGGAAAGCGAAACGGTATGTGGCCATGATGAATGTGTGTTTTATGTTGTTGATATTCAATGTTGTAAATTGTGAAATTGTATATTTGATGTTCATCAGCGATTGAGGCATGTGCAAGAAAGGCTGTTGAGCATTGGTCGACCCATCAAGTCTTACTAAATTGGCAAGAAAACCCGTCGCAGCAGTTACACTAACAACTTTACGGATTTCGCCTATTGCGGCTTCTTTTTGGTGTGTAACCCCGCGATAAACGAGACTTCACTGTATCGTAACAGCTTTGATCTGCAATTTCAGACTGCTGAGCGCTAACAACTTCGAGTAATGCACCATCATGCGACACCGTAGGATAAGGTGACCTGCTTTTTTATTTTATTTTTGAAATACTTTTTTTTGCAAAAGTGAAACTGATAGGACACATTTTTTTCCCCCCATTTTTTCCCTACAGCCGTCACGATCGACTTGGGACCAGTGTGCGGGCTACCGGTCGATTGCGATCGACGTACTGGGCACCCCTGGTTTATACTGTTCATACACCATAATAGGGTCCTAGCGTGTATCATTGCCATTCACCATTTGCGCAGGTCAGCCCAGTCCAGCCTTCAGCACAGACGCAGCTGAAGCCCGTGGAGTCCTCCACACAGGTGGCGCCGTTCACACATGGCAATGACACGCACGCGCGTTCAACTGGCGAGAGGAAAGAGGAAGCAGACAAAGAACAAGCCCTTTATTAGGCCCCTGGGGGAAGTTGTATATAAACTGGTAGATTAGACCTTGTGGTATTGTAATTTACTCACAGGGCACTTCATTAGATACTGTAGAGGCATCCGATTTGCAGGTCAAAAAGGTAGCTATGATAACAAAGCATGCTCTATATGTGTCTATATGCGTAGAGCTGCTTCATGAATATGCCTATAGTACTGTATAGTATACGGTATTCATTCGCAACTATTTATAGAGGGCATACAAAGTAGACCCATTAGGAATGGGACAAGTACCGATAGCAATACCCGTCTTATTTTAAGATATCGGGTACTCATGGAGGCTTTAGATACCACCAACCGATACTAAAAGAGAAAAAAAAAAAGTATGATATTGAGTAAGTCCTCCTCGACAGTAAGAGGTGGTATGCTGCAGCTGTTTGCACATCAGCGAATCATCAGCCGCGCCAGAAACAAACATTTTTTAAATTTATATTTTTAAATTTATATATATTTTTTTCATAATTCCTTTCACCTTGTCTGAGGCTGAATAAAAAAATGTTAAAAAAAAAAAAACAGCTCCACAGAATGAAAGCAAGATGATGGCACCAGCATTCTTCACTGCTGGTATGGTGTTCTTTCGGTAATGAGCGGGGTTGTGTTTGCTCCAAACATACCTTTTGGAATTATGGTATATGGCCAAAAAGTCTCACCTTGGTTTTGCCAAACCGTAACAAAATTTCCCAAACACACACAGGGAAATGGATATGAATTGAGATTGGATATGAATAGAATTGATCAATAAGTGATTACTGTGCAGTCTTTGCAATGTGTTTTTGACCTTTAATTTAGGCACAATTTTCAAGACAATTTTATAATGCTTTATTTATTCATCTATCTTTATTTTTATTGTACAATTTTTTTAGCCAGTGTTGATGTTCAAACTGTGTGTGTTTAATATTAAAGTGGCTTACAAAATTTGAGGGCCACCGGTATGGATATAGATGTGGGATGTGTGATTCATCCATTCAATAGAAACCGCTGTCAGTGCAGTCCTACACTGCTTCAATTTAGCCTTTGAAGCATGAAATAATTGTGCCATTCACACCTTGTTAAGGTTTCACTCACCAATGTCACAGTTGCGACCCCTGAAACCATCTTGGCACTCGCACTGGTACTCGTTGGGCTCTGTGTTGGTGCAAGTGCCGCTGTTCTTGCAAGGCTGGTGAGTCCCGCAGTAGTTCAGATCTAAATCACACACAATGATTGAGTATGATTTCGGCATGACAAACAAACGTAAACCATATGAATAACGTCGATATTAACCTGCTTGGAAACCATTTCGATTGCCCTCGTTGTGTGTGCCTTCAATTCTTTACAGAAACCAAAAAAGTATGAGCCAATCAGTGCACGCACACACACACCTCCACAGATGTTTGCGCAGTGATCTCCGTCTCTTTTGTCTTCACCAAGGCAAAGACCCCGCCTACAGTTACAGGCTCACAAAAGCCGTACCCAAGGCTATCACCTTTCCACTGGACAATGTAACGTCCCACGGGCAGAGGGGCCGGGGTCCCGAATTCCCCCTCCCACAATGCGGTGGGATTATGCGTATCCTGGGATCATGTTGGAGCATCTTTGTAAAAGGTTGATGGGAAAGGGAGAGCAAAGTGAAGCTTTTCTTAGCAGGGTGGATCGGTTTTGAGAGACACGCCTGAGAGGGCGTGGCAAGAACCGCACCTAAACGGAACACATCATTGTTCAAAGTGTGTTTCATTTGAGGATGAGGCCAAATGTACATCAATCCCTTATTGCAGGAGTCCCCAACCTTTTTTGACCAAAGATCTACTTTTCAAACAGCCACCCGCCCACAATGGACCCCCTACACACATGCACGCGCTCGTTCACACAGGCATGCCATGATAAGCAACAGACATAATGCGCCCTAACATGAACGAAACAGAAAAATAAAATAGATACAAGACAAGACTGAGTTTTTAAAAAGGAAATCACCGTCTCCCTTAGTAGGAGACATGACACAGATAGGCAGGGATGCATTTCTGTAGCGTGATGAGTACAGAAACATCTATCTATCATAGACACACACACCTTCAAATTATAGGTGTACGCATATACCTTTGTCACACAGGAGACCGCCCCAGTTGACGTCGCACACACACTGCCAGGGTTCAGTGCAGCTCCCGTACATACAACCGGGGAAGGTCACACACTGGTCGCACAGAGACCCGGTCCAGCCGTAGTGACACCTGAGGATAGAATGGGAGAAGAGGACTGATTTTAAATTCTTTTGACGCCATCTGCATAGAGACACGTTTCTCGGCCAAAATACAACACCAGCGTGTAATGTGATTCAAAAGAACAGTCCATACAGTGCAGGTCACTCACGTGCATTGTCCAGGTTCGGTGCAAGAGCCGTGGGCCTTATGACATCCTTGCCTGCACAGCGCTGCAAGAACACGCATATGCACACACATTAGAAACTGCTAAATTAGCACGGCGGTGCTTTGAGATTTTAGTCATCCATTCCTGACTCTTCTCCTAAAAAGCAACACACATTTTTTTGTAATGTAGCTTTTGATTATAGAAAAAACAGACAGTAATGTCATACTTAAATAGAATGTAAAGAATTGAACAATGTTTTTTTTTTGTTGTTTTTTTTGCTTCAGTTCAATGCAGGATGCTGCTCCCTCTGGTGTGCATGACTTCCCCACCTGGGGGCAGTATCATCCATCCATCCATTCATCCATTTTCTGATCCACTTTATCCTCATAAAGGTCGCGGGAAATGCTGGAGCCTCTCCCAGCTGTCTTCGGGCAGTAGCCGGGGGACATCCGGTTGCCAGTCAAACGCAGGGCAAACAGAAACGAAGAACCATTCGCGCTCACACTCACACTTAGATACAACTTGGAGTGTTCCATCAGCTTGTCATGTAAGTTTTTGGAACGTGGGAGGAAGCCGGAGTACCCGGAGAAAACCCACGCAGGCACGGGGAGAACATGCAAACTCCACACAGGAAGGCCGGAGCCGGGGTTACTGAGCATAGCTACAATTAAGAAACACCCATACAAAAAAAAAAAGAAAAAAAAATACAACTACAACAACAAAACTCGGCGGCCTGGTGGTCCAGTGGTTAGCGCCTTAACCTCACAGTGCAGAGGTACCGGGTTCAATTCCAGCTCCGGCCTCCCTGTGTGGAGTTTGCATGTTCTCCCCGTGCCTGCGTGGGTTTTCTCCGGGTACTCCGGTTTCCTCCAAAGACATGCATGTCAGGCAGATTGAACACTCAAAATTGTCCCTAGGCGTGAGTGTGAGCGTGGGTGGTCGTTCGTCTCTGTGTGCCCTGTGATTGGCTGGCAACTGGTTCAGGAGACACTTCTGCTGTACTTTGAATTATTGCTAAATTACCTGTGATTTAATTTGTTTATGGCAATTTATAGAGATAAGATCTGTGACGATTTGACTGAATGAATGAATGAATGAATGAATGAACAACAAAACTCCAATTTATCACAATTAGGCGTTACAGGCAGCAACACCCGGCAAATGTTTCAGACTTCCTGCACGTCCGCGGTCTAATCAGCAACCTGCTGAGGAAGAAACGTGATGAGGCTAGGCAAGGACAGGGTGCTAATGGCTGCAGGATGTCCTAAAATTAACTGCCTTTTTACCCCCACAGTTTCCACTTTGGTTTCCTGCATTTAATTTGAACCACTGTGACAGAGTGGTCACAGAGTTCATATCCAGCTGATGAGTGCGCACGTGAGTATCACACACACACACACACACACACACACACACACACACACACACACACACACACACACACACACAGGTGGAGAAGACACCATTGGAATGCAAATGGCTATTGTCCGTAGCTGTTTTATATGGTTAAAATGGTGACTCATTGACTTAAGCAGGTGACGTTAGACTTACTTATTGTCTGAGGTAAAGCGCTTGACCATAATATTAATATGAGAGTCACATGAGGAGACATCCAGTGCTACACACACACACACACACACACACACAGGTGGAGAAGACACCATTGGAATGCAAATGGCTATTGTCCGTAGCTGTTTTATATGGTTAAAATGGTGACTCATTGACTTAAGCAGGTGACGTTAGACTTACTTATTGTCTGAGGTACAGCGCTTGACCATAATATTAATATGAGAGCACCTGTCATAAACATGAGGAGACATCCAGTGACACGGAAGTGTCTTTTTTGTCCATGAGTTCAAGTAAATAAGGATAATTGAAATTATTATTGCCTATTTGGGGGATCAAAACAGTACGCTTGAAAATTCATGGATAACATCGAAGCATTAAAAATGTTGGTTGTATCGATTTGATAAACTGGTACGATTTGGGGAAATACGAGTTTCTTTTTTTGCTATTATTTTTTATTTATATTTTCATTATATTTCTGTAATTTTTTGTGCACACTGGACATACAGAATTTAACATATTTTAAACAAAATAAAATGAATTGACAAATTTCAATCTCAAAAAGGAAAATTACGTTTGTCAATAATTGCTGTTGACCCGATTTAGATTATTCCAATGTCATGCCGATGTTTAGGAGTGATTCTTTCTGAATGAAGTGAATTATTAGCAAAGCGGTGTCACTCCTGACCTTCTTTGCACTCGGGTCCCGTCCATCCCTCCATGCAGACCTTGGAGCCGCTGAGGTCGCAGTTGAAGTGGCCAAAGAAGTCGTCGCGGGCCCGGCAGAACTTGTTGCAGAAGGGCCCATAGTAGTTGGAGTCGCAGCGAAAGCGTAGGCGGTACTCCAGGCTGAAGGAGCGGCCGTGGTGGCGGTAGGCCTGCCACTGCTCTCCGGGATTCAACATGGAGGAGAGAAGAACACGCTCAATCAGCTGATCTGAGGGAGCAGGGGGAGAAGAAAAAAAACAACCTCTTTAATGTTTGGGCATATTATAGTTCATCATTTTATGGCTATATGGAGGGTCCGAAGCTCACTGAAGTCATAGCTCGCAAATCAAAAAAAGCAATCTCATGTTTTGTTTCGTTTTTTTTCTAACATTTGGACAGTTCCGAAAGTTTCAATGTCATTTAAACGTTGCCTTTACAATTAATAAAAGTGTATCAAATTAGGCTTAAAAATCGTCAAAAATCAAGCCTTTGTCTCCGTGTGACTTCTTGAAACCACACAACCTCGCGTCTTTCTTATGCCAAACATCCCTACATGCTTGAGCGATTCAAGTGTATCCACTGAAAGCTTCTGGTGGCTGGAATAAATCACACTGAGTCGTCGTGGGGCTTGGTTGTGCCGTGACAACAGGGCGCTCTAATGCGGCCATGCCAATGCAAAGTCTTATTCCACACGCTGACTGTCACATCTGGAACCCTGCCCCCCCTTGCTATTTCTCTTTTCTCTCCATAACGTGTGTGTACTCGTGGCCAACAATGAGGCACTCTGAAGCAGCCAAACCAGAAGGCTATCAGAAGGGGAGATGCATTTTCGGGTAAAAGATAGCACAGCAGGCTTGCGAAGTGCAGGTTACAACTGCAGGAAATGACCGCTAATGGTGGTGGCGGTAGGCCTGCCACTGCTCTCCGGGATTCAACATGGAGGAGAGAAGAACACGCTCAATCAGCTGATCTGAGGGAGCAGGGGGAGAAGAAAAAAAAAACACCTCTTTAATGTTTGGGCATATTATAATTCATCATTGTATGGCTATTTGGAGGGTCTGAAGCTCACTGAAGTCATAGCTCGCAAGTCAAAAAAAGTAATCTCATGTTTTGTTTTGGGTTTTTTAACACTTGGACAGTTCCAAAAGTATAAATGTCATTTAAATGTTGCCTTTTCAATTCATAAAAGTGTATCAAATTAGGCTAAAAATTGTGAAAAATCAAGCCTTTGTCTCTGTGTGAGTTCTTGAAACCACGCAACCTCGCGTCTTTCTTATGCCAAACATCCCTACATGCTTGAGCGATTCAAGTGTATCCACTGAAAGCTTCTGGTGGCTGGAATAAATCACACTGAGTCGTCGTGGGGCTTGGTTGTGCCGTGACAACAGGGCGCTCTAATGCGGCCATGCCAATGCAAAGTCTTATTCCACACGCTGACTGTCACATCTGGAACCCTGCCCCCCCTTGCTATTTCTCTTTTCTCTCCATAACGTGTGTGTACTCGTGGCCAACAATGAGGCACTCTGAAGCAGCCAAACCAGAAGGCTATCAGAAGGGGAGATGCATTTTCGGGTAAAAGATAGCACAGCAGGCTTGCGAAGTGCAGGTTACAACTGCAGGAAATGACCGCTAATGTCTTTCATGTTTTGAGTAATTATCTTCAAACATTTATAATGTATTGTGAAACAAATATCTGCATTAACTTAGCCGTGCCTTTGACAAAATAACTAAGCAGCAGGTTACTCCCCACTTCTGCTGTAGTACAGAGTGGTGGGGCCTGTTCTGACATTGTCCACTTGCCTATGAACTGCTTATTAAATCACAATTGATGAAAAGTTGAACCCAATTTAAATAGACCTGGACTTATAACAGCGGCGCTATCTTATTCAAAGTCACAGCGTCCTCCAAGTACTTAAAGCTTTTTCACTCTATATCATCAAGGGCAGTTGGATGGGTACGGCCAGTAATCCTCCTTGATTAAACGGCAGTCCTGCCTTGCTTGCAGGATGCGACGTGTCAGACAGGCTGCGCGGTGGCAGAATAGCTTCAACGGGAGAGTGGGGAGCTGTCAGGAGCTCAGATGGAGCTGGACGGTAATGACAAGGAGATGGGAAGAACGGTGGAGGAAGCGCGAAGCCAGCCCTCATTATCTCCGCTATCTTTTTGGGATGAAAACATGCAGCATCCACTGGCAAGACGAGGGGGAGGATGGTGGAATGAAAGTGGAGGCATGACAGCGTGTGTGAGTGGTGTGAGATA